CTCTGATGGTCCGTGTAGATCTGAAACCTTTCTCCACATAAGTAGTGCCTCCAGATCTTGAGTGCGAAAATAATTGCTGCCAGTTCCAAGTCGTGGGTCGGGTAGTTCATCTCATGAGGCCTTAACTGTCTCGATGCATAAGCAACCACCCTTCCATTTTGCATTAGCACACATCCCAATCCTTTGAGCGAAGCATCGCTATAGATCTCATACCCGCCCGATCCTGAAGGAATCGTCAACACTGGCGCCGTCGTCAATCTCTGCTTCAGTTCCTGAAAACTCTCTTCGCACTTTTCCGTCCATTCAAACCTCGTTTCCTTCTTAAGCAGCTTCGTCAGCGGAGTGGCTATCGCTGAGAATCCTTCCACAAATCGCCGATAATATCCCGCCAGTCCTAAGAAACTCCGAACCTCAGTAACTGTCGTCGGTCTCGGCCAATCCATTACTGCTTCAATCTTTGCCGGATCCACGGAGATTCCTTCTCCGGAAATTATATGCCCAAGAAATGCAACTCGATTCAGCCAAAATTCGCACTTGCTAAACTTAGCATACAATGCGTGCTCTCTTAGCGTCCGTAAAACTCTTTCCAGATGTACCTCATGTTCCTCGGAGCTCTTTGAATACACTAGAATATCATCGATGAAGACAATGACGAACTGGTCCAAGAACTCTTTGAATACCCGGTTCATTAAGTCCATGAATGCAGCAGGGGCATTCGTCAGTCCAAACGGCATCACCGTGAATTCATAGTGTCCGTACCTCGTCCTGAATGCCGTCTTTGGGATATCCTCCTTTTGGATCCTTAACTGATGATACCCTGTCCTTAGGTCGATCTTAGAAAATACCGAGGCTCCCGCAACCGGTCGAAGTGTCGTCTATCCTTGGGAGGATACTTATTCTTAATCGTCACTTGATTCTGACGGTAGTCGATACATAGCCTCAACGACCCATCCTTCTTTCCCGACGACAGGACCGGCGCTCCCCATGGAGACGCACTTGGTCGGATAAAACCTTTGTCTAGCAATTCTTGCATCTGAACCTTAAGTTCTTTCAATTCCGACAACGACATCCTATACGGCGGCTTCGAGATTGGCTCAGTCCCAGATGCCAACTCGATAACGAATTCCACTTCTCTTTCTGGTGGCAATCCCGGCAATTCCTGAGGAAAGACATCGGGAAAGTTGCACACCACTGCTATATCCTCTAGCCGCACTTCTCCTGCCGTAGAATCAACTACGCTTGCTAAATAACCTTGGCAGCCCTCATCCAACAATTTAGTTGCCTCAACCGAAGAAACCCAAGGGATCGAGGTTCCTCCTCGACTCCCTACGAACTCGAATCTAGGGTGTCCAGCCGGGCTAAACCGAATCACCTTACTACTGCAGTCCATTACGGCATTCTGCTTAACTAACCAGTCCATGCCCACAATTAAATCAAAATCATACATTGGCAAAACCGCTAGGTCTATCCTGCTTTCTACGCCACCAATCACTATCTCACAATCCGGACATCCTAACGATATGCATATCTTATCCATTAACGGCGTAGTCACACACAACTGCACTTCTAGCAAAACAGGGTTTAATCCAGCCAACTCAACAAACTGAGCAGATATAAACGAATGCGATGCTCCCGGATCAAATAATGCATACGCGACATGACCGCAAAGAGAAATCGTACCTGTGACCACGCCCGGCGCATTCTCAATTTCTCTTCGCGCCATGGCGTACACCCGTCCTTGTGCCGGCGGCCTGTTCACATTAGCCGGCAATAGATTCTCAGCCTGATTCCCAATTCGGGGTTGATGTTGCATCGTGGGCCGCGGCGCCGCCGGGGACAACTCCCGATTTGATGGTTCATACTCCCGCATTTGAAGCAAGCCCCAAACCCGTTCTCGCTGGGATTCGGCTTTCCAATGTTCTTCCTGATCGGTGGGACGAACCTCCTGTTTCCCGCCATTGGTTTCTTCCCAAAACGGCGGTTGTCCTTAGTCGGGGCGAACCGCGATCCAGATGCGGCCGCTCTATCTACTTGCTCTCGCTCAATAGCCTGAGCTCTCTCATATAAGTCCTCATAAGTCTTTAAATTCACAGGTATCAGCTGGCCGCGAATGTCGGCTTTCAGCCTATCCCGAAACCTTCGCGCCTTATCCTCAGGGTGTTCCACCATCCTTGGCGCGAACCTCGACAGTCTCGCAAATTCCGCCTCGTACTGATCCACGGTCAACAATCCTTGGCGGAGCCTCATGAATTCTGCCAATTTCCTTTCCCTGGCGCTCTCAGAAAAGAATTTTCCCAGGAAAGTCTCAGAAAATACGGTCCAAGTCGGGGCGGTCCCTTCGGGAAATACCCTTCCTTTGGTGGCCTTCCACCAATCATCGGCGTTGTCCTGCAGTTGATATACCGCCAATGTCACCTTTTCGGCCTCGGTACACCCTAGCACTTCGAAAGCCTTCTCCAACCCTTCGACCCAACGGGGTGCGGCCTCGGGATCACCCTTACCATTGAACTTCGGCGGCTTTAATTTCAAGAACTGCTCTACTAACTTGGACATCGGCCTGCCCACATTCACTGGCGCTGGAATTGGATCCTCCTGATTCCCCTGATTCCCATCATCACCATCGTTTCCATCATTCCCATTGGCCCCATTGGCCCCATTGGCAGCAGCAGCCATGGCGGCCTCAACAGCAGCAGCTATAGTGGCATCTCTCTCTTGGGCTAGTCTACCTCCCAGAATTCCGGCTTCCTCGAGAGCTCTTAAAATTCCATCTACCCTCGGATCCTCGGCAGCCCTTACTTGCGGTTCTACAGGGTCCTGCTCACGACCTCGGCCTCTGCCTCTACCACGGCCTCGGCCTCTACCACGGCCTCTTCCTTGGCTACTCATCTTTCCAACTCGCACGCTCACCTTCCTGCTATAATTCCATTCAGGAATTAGAGACCTAAACCAAGCTAAACCGGTCTAAGGTCCTAGGCAGGTATATACAGCAGCAATTAAGCAACCAGCATGCGGTCTTACACCAACAGCACAACATCTCAACCAAGGAGATTCGCGTACTTACCTCGGGTCCTGCCGCACCTGCACTTTACGGTCAACTAAAACAAGCACTCAATCAAACACAAGCAGTCAGGAGGTACACATAGCACACGAGGTCACCTTACTGGCTACCCAAGGTCACCGCTCCTTATCACTCCAGGCTTCGACCTAATTGGATCGAGCTGACCTTGCTCTGATACCAAATCAAACGGGGATGTCACGCCCCGCACTCCTCGGCGCGCCACATCCCTCGCAAAGGTCGATTCGTGTGCGACGTCCCAGGACGCGTCGCCGACCCAACACCCAACACAGAGATTTAAAGCACATGCGGAAGTAATTAAAACCACCCGTACATTAAAATACACCTGACCAAGGATAGCCATACAACAACCAGCACGGATAAATATACACGTGTTTTGACATCGGGAGACATATATAATATTCATATACAGCCCACACTCAAAAATCAAAAGCGGGTACGTGGCTCGGCGATCAAACACTATATCTAGCCGGGGCTCCTCCCAAAACGTTTCAATACGCCCGCCATCCTCAAGGGTTCGAAAAGTGGGTTTCAACAACAAGTGAGAATAAATCTCGCGAGTAATTCCCTAAACCTAAATTAGGCTAAAGTGCACCTCCCGACGAGTACTAAATCAACACACCAAGCAAATGATAATTGACTTAGGCCCTCGGGCCCAAATCCAACACTCACCTTGCCCTGCAGGTTAGGCACTTACAGATCAAGCATAAAACATAGGACCCAGTCGCAGCACATGTACACATCATTTGGTCACAACGCATGTCATGCTTATGCTCGTGCTCATACGCGTGCTCACGCCTCATCAATGCATTTTCGCACGCTTGCACTCTAGCATACTTGCCATTTATCAATTTCTCCTCCGACCCGCGTTAAACGCATCAGGTCCGACCCGCGTAAAACGCATCAGGTCTATCACTATCCAACACTTCCTGGCCCGCGTAAACGCATCAGGCCCAGTGTCTCTAGCCCGCGTAAACGCATCAGGCGCAACACCGATCTCCATATACGGACCGAACCCGCGTAAACGCATCAGGTTGGCCGTCTTCCGGCAATCCGGGCATCGTCCCGCGTTAAACGCCTCAGGACGGGTTCACTACCCCGCGTAAAACGCATCAGGGTTTATTGTGATCACACATTCACAAGCACCAATTTTTCATCTGAACCCCGCGTTAAACGCATCAGGGCATTTTAGGTGATCACAATGCACATGTCACTCGAGCACACTTGTAAATGCACATGCCGTGCCAATGCTCGTGATGCAAACTCATGGCCATAAACTTCACACTCGGGCATTCACTTGCACCGCACCACTTACTCAAATCATGATGCAATCATGCGCATTTGCACCACGCATATTCAATTTCATAAATCAACATGCCCAATCAACATATTAGCATGACCATGAAAGCAATTCAAAGCACTCTTGCACGGCACATAATTCACACAATTGAGTCAACATCAATTCACGCACTCGAGGCCCGGTAAGAGACTCCATTCTTAGTCACACTAGGCACGTGACACGGCACCACAAAATTGATCACAACCCAGTACAAATCAGCCACTTAGCCCGCCAACCTAAACATTCCCGATAATCACACAATTAACCTCCAAATTGATCGCTCATAGACCAATCCAAACCCGGTATGGACAGCCACCGAACAAATCGTCCTAGGCCAACAAATGTTCTCGAAACACTCCATTTGACTCCCCAAAATATCACTCAAATCAGCCACCATGAAGACCAAATGAGGCGCGCACTAAAATCCACATTTTAAACCCGAAACTTCCCAAACTTGGGCTAATCCGACCCAAATCTGTCCGGCCAATACTCGGCGCTTCTCAGGCTACTAAACCTCCATTCATTCATCACACTAACCCCATAGAACAGCCACCAAAACAGCCGCCATAACAGGCACCGTTTAGATCACAAGTTTCTCCCGCCAAATTCACAATTTGTACCCGAACCAAGGCGTCGACGCTCAGCCACTATCCAGCACACCACAAACCACTAAACCTCGATTAGAACATCATGCTAACCCACCGAATGCGCCACAACATCAGCCCTTAACAGCCTCCACAAACTAACCCCCAAATTGATCGCGCCTTGTCCGATTCAAACCCGATATGGACAACCACCAACAGGTCGCTCTAGGCCACTAATTATCCTCAAAACGCTCCATTTAACTCCCCAAAATAACATCCAAATCCGTCACCACGTGGACCAAACTAGGCGCGCTCTATAATCCCCAATTGAACCCGAATTAATCCGAACTCGGGCCGATTCAATCCAAATCTGTCCAGCCCATATATCGCGCCTCTCGGGTTACTAATTCTCCATTAGTTCATCATACTAATCCACCAAATCGACCACAATCACAACCCCTAATCACCTCCACAATTTAACCCCTAAATCACCCTAATTAAACCCTAAATCCCGTCTAGAAATGTAAATTAGCCTAATTAGGGTTTAGGGTCAAACTCACCGGGTGTCCTAAGCTTGAAACGGCCAAACACGCGATGAAAAGGGGCTGGGCAGCGGCGGTCCCTTGCCGGAACAGTAACGGCGGCGGCGGCTCCGGCGAACGACGCGAACAAAGGCGACGAACTAGACGATTCCGCGGCTTAGGGAGGGGAAGGGACACGGCCAGAGAGTGTGGGACGGCTGGGCGAGGCTGGGTGCGACGGTGGTGGCGGCGGAACAGCTCCGGCGGCGGCGGAGCTCCTCCGGCGAGCGGCGGCGAGGGCGTCCAGAACAGGGGAGGCGTCAGGGAGGAAGAAGAACAGGAGAGGGGAGAGATGGCTATGGGTGGAAGGACTGCCGGCTGAGGAGAGAGGGACGGCGGCCCACGGCGACCTCGCGGCGTCGACGAGGCGGCGCGGCGAGCTGCTGTTCGCGCGCCTCGCGGGCAGGTCGGCGACGGCGCGACGGCTGGCGGGAGGGCGGCGACGAGCTGGTCCGGTGAGTTAGGGGCGAACGGCGACGGGCAGCAAGGAAAAGAAATAGAAGCAGCAGCGTCGGGCAAAGCTGAGCAGGAACGAAGCAGAACCAGAACCAGGCGAGTTCGGGGAAGGAAGAAGGAAGAAGAAGAAGAGAAAGGAAAAGAAAGAAAGAAAAGAAAAGAAGAGAGAGAGAGAGCAGGTGGGAGTTGGTGAGCTGAGGGGACGTTGGCAGACGTGCGCGGAGGAGAGAGAGAAGGAGAGAGAGAGAGAGAGAGAGGGAGAGAGAGAGAATAAAAGGAAATATTTGAACATTCAAATATTAATCGCGATCCGATGGCCCAATTTAAAAACCGAAAGTGGTCTACGGGTCCAAAATAAGCCTCGCACATAAAAAGGGACAAAGGCCAAATTAATTAGACCAAATCATAACGAGGGAGGTCTACTAGTCCAAATTCGCACGTGGTCAAAAACTCCCATTTTTCCATCATTCCTGACAATCTCAACGTTGGCTACCATAATATTGACACCGTCCAATTTATTTTGTCCCGAAACTCCCGGAAATCGACTGCCAAGTTCGGGATCCAAATAACGGCCAAATTTGATCGAGTGCGATTCTAGCGAAATCTCTAATTTAAAATGATAACCGGGAGTGATCAGTTCCCGGGCGAGATTTTACTATAAGCACACTGACAAATTACGCGTTTTATAAATCCCAAAAATGGGCCGAAATTCGGGACGTCACATGCGTCCCCCAAAGAGTAAGGCGAAGTGCATGAAGAGAACATGCAGTCTTTCACATAAAGAGTCGTGTAGTGATTTACTCCGATGAAATCCAACTTCACCTCGAGGAGTTTCTTCCGCTCCTCCGCCGAAAACGTTGGCAATCTCGATCCTAAGACTTGACGCATCTCGGGCGGGTAATCTCCATATACTAAAGGGTCTACAAACCTGTAATCAATAGAGAAATTTATGAGCAATTTTCGGCAGAAACGAAGATGGAGAGGGGAAAGTTCTTGATAAAAGTGGCATATGGATTTCTTTTTGTGGCCATAGAACATGGATTTGTGTAAGAGAGAAATTATGTACCATGCAAAATAGAAAGCTAAAGAACGCCAGACAGCGAGACGATCGGCTGGAGTGTCGTCGTATGGCTCGAACCATGTAGCCGAAATCACTATCCCAATCATTCCTCCTTGCTTTTCCTGATTATGAACATTTTTTGGTTTAGAACCAATAATTACATAGTTTATCTTTGAGTTCGTCGCGGAAAACAAAAGGACTTTGTACGTACAAGAAGAGTGTCAATAGTAGGATTTGTAATGACGCCATGACAATATGAATTGAGCCTCTAGGCCCGGATATATGAGAATTTCAAGTGATGAAACTTTAATTGTGTTCATTCTCATGAATTTTGAAGTATTTAAGAGATAAATTAATGATTTCACTTTCATAGCTAATAGAGGCAATTGGTTCGTTTCTGTTCTTTCTTGTTCATTTATGCTAACTCTCTTGAACACAAGACGGTGATAGTAAAATTGGTGATAGATAGCCAGTTAATGCACACAAAAAAAAAAAAATTCAATTCGTAGCTCTTTAATTTACCTGGTAATACTTCCGGTAAATTTCAGCGGCCGTGGCATGGGACAACACCAGATTGTGGGTCGCAATGTAGGGTTCGAGAGCGGAGTCGCCGTGGGAGCAATTGCCAAACGGGTAGGAGCACCGGCCGGGCGGGTAAGTTCCCGAGACGTAACCTTCATAGATGAACACGTTAGGCTCGTTGAATGTGGTCCAATATGTCACTCTATCTCCGAAAGCTTCGAAACAGACTCGTGCAAAGTAGCCAAAGTCCAGCCTACAACAATTTCGAAACACATGATGTGAAATCACGGAAATTGATTGGATCGTCATATGGATGGAGATTAGAAAGGATGGTAGCGACGATTTCGCTTACTGTATTTCGGAACTCAACCACGAACCATACCGGTCTTCTAGCAATTGTGGAATGTCGTAATGGTTCAACGTCACAAACGGCTTTATACCTTGTCCGAAAGAACAGATTACAAATACATAGAATGGGTGATTCATCTTTTTCCGAGGCAATGTTTATGCACGAATGGTAAAAATTCACTCCAAGAGGGTACTGAAAAATGCAACTTTTGAATTGAAGAATGATAAGACTGAGAGGGAATGCAAAAATTACAATGTTGGTGTCAAATAGATTGGTGCATTTTGCTTGTACCTCTGACCAGAAGGACATCAATGATACTGTTGTAGAACTCAATGCCTTCTGAATTGACCTCCCCAAATCTTCCTTCTGGAGTTGAAAGTGAAACAGAACATGAGCAACCATATGGTGTTGAACTGACAACAACTGATCAAGTATATATATTGTACAAAGCCCAAAAGAAATCATCTTAAAATGAAAATAAAATGACATACTAGGAAGAACTCTAGACCAAGCTATGGAGAATCTGTATGCATCCACCCCGAGATCATGCATCAACTCTATATCTTCCTGTTGCACGTTAACATATCCAGGAGATTGTAATTTACAATAAGAATCAGGCTAAATTAGTGTTAAGTCTGGATTATCAACAACTCGTCTTGTGACATCTTGGGCTGTTGATGAGGCTTTAATGAGAGGATAGAGAAAGTCTAAGTACCAAAAAGAGATTATAGTGATCGTCCGCCACATCAGCGTTGCTTCCATCTTCTATTTGGCCTGATCATCAAAAGGCAAGTTCGTCATACATCGATATTTTATGGGAAAATTATCCAATCAAATTATAAACATATTGTACGGATGTCAATTCAGTCATAAACTTTTCAATTCAGTCATAAACCTTCATATGAAATTCCAATGTAATTCTTCTAGCCAATTTTCGCCGGAGATGGTCAGTGATGACTAAACCGTCACACTAGCGGTTTCTGGTGAAAATTGACTGGAAGACTATATTGGAATCTCGCGCAAAGGTTTAAGACTAAATTGATAAAATTGAAAAGTCTAGAACTGAATTGGTATCCATACTAATAGGTTTAGGTCCGATTGGGTAATTTTCATAATATTTAATCATATATGTAAAAGATATTGTTAGAATATAGTCATGTCAATAATAAGAGTTCGTCGCATTGTCTTTGTTAAAAAAGAAGATCGGTTTAGTAAACCAACTTCGATACCCCGATATTGTACATGATGCAATCTTTCCTGACGTATGGAATAAACTAATTTTCTTAGCTGGCCACCGACGATCTCTTGTATCAAACTATTGGTCAATCAATGATTGCTCAATGACATTTATAAAAAGAGGACTTTAGCAACAACCATAAATAAATAAATAAATAAACAGAATAAATAAATAATGCAAAATTTCATTACAAATACAATATTCCTAATTTTTACGACAGTTTCTGACTCGCACCGGTAGCAAGTCATTGTCATGCTATAAATAAAGGAGCTCGAAAAATATATAATATCTTCTAAATTGCGTTTTTCTATAATTTATTTGTTAAGGTAAATTGGTCTTGTTTTTATTCATAGCCTATACAAATTTATTAAAGTTAATACCATGAAAAATACTAAATTGGTACAATTATGACAAATTTACCGAAAACTAACTTTTTGACTACAAAAAGCCACAAACTGGTGCACCTGTAACAATTTTACCCTCTGTTAGTTTCCATTAAATCTTACTATCGAATTTCTGAGTTGGATGACACGTGGTAGTTGACAGGTGTACCGGTTTGGGGTTTTACCCTTCGTCTGTCACATGTGTACCATTTTGTGATTTTCTTGATATTAATCCAATTTAATAAAGGGTAAATTTGCCACAAATGTACTAGTTTGGAGTTTTTGGTGGTCAAAAAATTAGTTTAGGGTAAATCTATCACAGATGTACCAGTTTGGGGTTTTTAATGGTCAAAAAATAAATTTAAGGTAATTTGTCATAGATGTATCAGTTTGGGGTTTTTCGTGGTAGTAACCCAATTTATTAAAAGAAAACTACATATCAAAATATTAAGCTTATTTGGATATTTCTTTTTGCTAGATCTCTAGTTTCTTCTATAACAATATAATAGGATGAAATTAACCATTGTAGAAAGTGAATTGTCAGTTAAACATACACACGGTGTTCGATTAAATTACTAGCTAGGCTAGGACTTCAGTTTTATCACGTCGGAGAAGCTTATCAATGGGACATCTCTGTTTTTTATTTTTTATTTATTGAAGCACATATGATCGAAAATAGTCAGTTGCATTCATTTTTTTTTTCTGGGTACGATTCAAAAACAAAAACTTGATATAATATTTTCCAAATATATGTAAGGTTCATATCATTCAGTAGCATGGAAGATAAAGCCCATCGCTTTTTCAAAACTGAATATAAAGCAATTTTCGGCTTTTTTGGCTTTGACCGGCCAGAATATTCCGCTTTTCAATTGATTTTTATTGAAAAGAAATAAATTAATTTTATCTGAATTCATTTTCTTGTGTTGGTTTCATTAGAGCCTTGACCCTATATTCCTACTTATTTTCGTAGAAAATAAATAAATACAGAAGAAACAGAAAATTGAAAGAGAACCTGGTATATGTGAGAAGACATCCCAATTGCTGAGGCTTTTGTTACCTTGCCGGTAGGCCCCTTCAATCTAGGCAGAACATAGAAATTGAAACTTATTTGGCACAAACTCATCGAGGTACCACGCAATGAAAAAACATGCCAGAAAGTTGGGAACATGAAATAATGGAGATAGTTGGTAGATAGGGAGATTGAATCTCTCACCTCAGATCAAGGGGAAGGTTGCAATTAAGAAGGGTTCACGTACAACTAGAGGTCTCCTCTCCCTTATTTATATCACTAGTTTTATCTATATAAGAGACCATTATTGTTGCGAAAGTGAAGTATACCACATGATTCACGCATTTCCCATCTGCAATTATGTTATGTCCCCTACAACCAGGCACATGTCATGTACTTACCCAATTACAAGCATCCTATGATGGGAAAGGATATAATAAAAGCAACCTTCATAGATAATTTATATATATTTGTAGGCATAGAAACAAGTGATTGAACTTAGTCAATAAAAAAAAGGCAAAAAAAAAGCACAAAAAAAAAGGCCAAAGTTGGAGCATAATTCGATTAATTGCAAGTTTATCAATTAAGGAACATATGCAGACACATCTCCAAATGGTTCGAGAATAGAAGAGATACGAGCGTTTGGAGGCAGAGGCGAAAGAATGCTCAGATCGCAAATTAAGGTCAGCCATCATGAAGCGGATTATGGTACGCAGCGACATGCAATAACTTACTCCAAACCATCTTACTAATAATCAAAAAAGATTTTCTTGTCCTGTTTCTCCCCTAATTGGTCAACCATGTATGAGAATCGACTCACTTGAATGTGGACTAATTGACAACCAAAGAAAGGCCAATAAAAAAACAGAATAAACGTATTGGAAATTTTAAAACTTGTCACGAAAATGTAATTTAGTCATAAAACTTTTAAAAAGTACAATTAAATCTTAAAACTTGTCACGAAAATACAATTAAGTCCTAAACTTTCGAAAAGTGCAATCAAGTCCTAAAACTGATCAAATTAATCCAATCAAGTCCTTTCGTTGATTGCACTTTTTACAAATTTTAGGACTCAATTCCACTTTGTGACAAGTTTTAGGAATCAATTGTACTTTCGTGATAAGTTTTAGGACTTCTAATGCATTTATTCCTAAAAAAAAATGTATTACAATACAAGCAAGGTACCCACCTTGAAACTTGGAACTTACCTCGTCAAGGTCGATTTCCCATTTGTAGAATTGGGAATTGACCCTGGAACTAGACCCAACTCGACCGATCCGCTTCTAAGGTCAGTCTAGGATCGGCCGGGTGTTTCTTTTGGGTTTCTTCTATTTGTAAGTTGGTTTAGTTTATTAATAAGGTGGAGGATTTTGTTACAGAAATTAGGGGGACTGTTTGGTGATTTGACCACTTTCTTGCAAGCACATTGCCATCTTTTACCACTTGATGACAGTCTTCATGACACATTAAGCTCAAGAATGGCATGTAAGTTTGCAAATACCCTTCAGCGGTGATGTATGCTTGATCCCATGCACTGTTTTAACTTATAAGAAAGCACATGAATTTCTACGTGAAGCATCTGGTAGGAAACATCATGTAAACTATCGGTAATGGAAACTCATGTTCATTATTCATTCAAAAGAACTATTTTCAAATTTTGCAGTTGTTACCTATCCTGAATGTATGACAATATCTAAAAGAAAGCACACACAATAATAAGCAGAGAACCGGGTTTGGTTCCTCAAGGCCGGTTTGGTCCCGTTCCGCACAAGAAACCAGGAACCGGACTGATTAGTGATGGTTCCAAACTTTTAGAACCAGATTAGTCCCGTGGAAACCACCCAAAATTGACCCGTTCGGTTCGGTTCAAACTGGGACCGATGCTCACCCCTGTAAGGGCTCATCATCCCTTCCCATGAGCAAGCAAGCAATGCTTCTAAAACCTAAGTCAAATGCTTTAACTTGCATGACCATCTAGAGAGAGAGAGAGAGAGAGAGAGAGAGAGAGAGAGAGAGAGAGAGAGAGAGAGAGAGAGAGAGAGAGAGAGAGAACCTGGAAAGAGGAGGTGGCAGTGCCAAACAAGAAGGAGGGAGGGAATTGGCCTCTGTGGACGGTGGTTCTTGAGCTTGTGAGTGGCAAGAAGAGACCATGCATCAATAGAAGACGAAGAGGAAGAAGAAAAACAGAACAAGCTCGTGATCTCATCCTTTTCTGTTCCTTTTCTTTTTCTTGGGTTTTGTGGATTAGAATAAGAGGGGCGTGGTGGGGTTTATATAGGCGACGATTCTTGGAAATAACTGTCAACGTCCCAAAATAGAAAACATTTAATTTTTTTTTGGGTCAAGAGTAACATTTTATTAAACAGGCATGAATTTAATACCAGAATCAATACACTTGAGGTATGCATGCAACAACTTTGTCCTAATGTAAAACAACTAAGGGGGTCCAATTATTGGGCACATGCTATGAATTCAATAAAGACAAAACTACATTAATCATGTTAAAGTACACACGAGATTTATAATGGCCTGATATGCAGTTTCCTATTTCCCCACTAAATAACTTGATGTTTTATTTGACTTTTTAACGTATTTTTTTTTTCTAAACTCATTTTGATTTTCACCCTAATAAATTTGGTGGGCCAAAAAAAGAAAAGAAAGCGCTCATAGACATGATAGCTATTTTGTAGGTAGAAAAGACTAGCAGCGTTTTGAAAGCGAAGTGCAGTACATGATTCACACATTTTCCCATGACCCATCTACAATTCATGATGTGTCCCATAAACCGAGACATATTTCATGTACTTACACAATTGCAAGCGTCCTATAATGGGACGTGATAAATAAAATCAACCGTCTTAGATATTATGTACCTACCATACTAATAATTGCCTAAACTTTATTTTTTTACCAACCGCCCCATGGTGAAATTTTAAGTACTCGGATGATAATTTAATACCCCATAAATAGTTGATGATCACTAATGTTGAGTACAGTTATCGGAATTGTTGGATGTATGCCCTAAAGTAATCATGTAGTAGTTACATGTTAGGGATTTATGTTGTACTATCAATTTTATTATTTATTTAATGGCAATCATTCATTCATTTGTCCAATTATTTATATATATGAATGATTTCATAAGATTAGTTGTGACCGGACCTATTCTTGAGATGTTAAGAATGTGTGACGGGTTCACAGTTAGACTGAATCTTTAAATTATTTCCGGTTAATGGATCATTGAGTGGATATTAATGATCCTGTTGAGATCTGTTCTTAACTTCATCATTAAGTATTGAATACTTAATAGAATGATGAGTCACGACTCATTAGGTATTGTGATGCCGAGTTAGAACACAAGTGTTTGTACCAGACAAGTTCACTGAACATGACATGTGTAGAACGATTAGCAATATGGAAGCTTTTAGCGTGGTCAATGTCTAATCGTTTATGCTTTGGTCTTGTGTAAATAATTCTCAGACCTGAGGCACAGTATTGACTTGTGTGTTGGATGGCTATGGTTCACAGATGCACATATTGCCGATTCGTTGATCCGTCTTTGTACTTGATGGTCATAGTTCATTCACATATGAAGTTACACGTGTGCGTAAAATGGAATCTGCCTCCTTGTTACATGCAAGGTACAATAATGATGTCTTATGCGATCTAATCATGACACTGCATTGAAATCCTCGGCCGAGACATAGTAAGGCAGATGGATTGAATTACACTGTAGCCACAGCTGACAGTTTCATTATATTTTTAAAGCATTCACACTATTTGGGTAGCCATGACATATTGCTAGATGTCAATCATGGCTTATAGGGCTTAGAGGTTGATCGGGACAATCAATCCTCTTGGAGTATTAATGTGTTAATGCAAGTCTTACTACTAGCTTAGTGATGAACCTAGGGATGTCAGACTCCATGACCAATTCAGGGCGACATTGAATGGGAGAGACAATATTGCAAATATGTTTACAATCGCAACAATCGAATTGAGTCGGGCTGAAATTAAATTATATGAGATTTAATTTAATTTAATATTTGGTCAAGGGCGTGCGTGCATACATGCTAATTAAGCACTCTTAAATTTTAATCATTCAAAAATAAAAAAAAATGATTACAAAAAAGGGTGCATGCACATGGCAGCAAGTTGCTGATCGTGTGCACACACGATAACAGTTCTTGATCGTGTGCGCACATGATCAACAACCATTGCTGATTGTGTGCAGTGTGCACGCACGCATGATCAGCAATTGTTGATCGTGCGTATTAGGCAATCAACAACTGTTGCTGATTGCACATTGAAAGAGTGATCAGCACAAGTTGCTGAATAAGAAGTGATTGTGAAAAAGAGTGTGTACAATATGTGTGCGTGAGAGATGAAAAGGTTTTTCTCTTTTTTGGTGCCGTGATTGAAACATCAAGAGTGCGGATAATTGCCGCCACGAGATTGCTAGCACAATTATAGTGGTAATTATCCGCGAGTCTTTTCTTCCGTTCGTCGTGTGATCGGTGGTGCGTCTGAACTAGAGGTCTAACGGTTGTGGGGCTCAAACTGAAGAACATATGAACAAAGTCATTTTGGACACGCTAGACGGTTGTGGGGGCTCGAACTGAAGAATATCCGAATCAAGTTATTTTGGGCACGCTACGAGAGGTAATCCATTTAACCCCTTATGATCTTCTGATTTTTGATTGAAACGCACGAACAACGCTTTTGGAGATACATGTATGATTTTATTTTTCTGTTGCATTTATATAATAATTTAGCTATGCATGTTCTGTAAACACTAACAATGATATCAGAGCCAATCCTTAGGCGTTTTCATCCGTTTAATTGATTTTGGTTCATATGTATTTTTGTGATCTAATGGCCAATGTACTTTTGTTAAGAGAATTGCTTGCTCTTAAGTGGCCTATAAAAGTTAATTAATTTGTATGATAAATTTGATCAATTGAGCAAAAATTAAAACTAAATCAATTTTGAATAAAAAATCCATAGCTTGTTTTATTTTGCATTTGTCTTCTCCAAAATTATTCACGACCATGAATCTAGAGGTGACAACACTGTAACTGCTTGGAATCATGCTCGTGAAATTTGTTTCACTGGCTTTGATTTCTTGACGCGGCTTATGCTGCTTGGCCATGAATTTGATTTAGTGCCGAATTTTATTTGTGCCTTCTAGAGATTTAAATTTTGAATTTATGGCTCGCGAAGAAGGGTGGTGATCATGGAAAAATCCCTAATCAATATGATTGATGTATGGATGAATGTATGATGATTACAGATATTTTTTTGGGGTTGTAATTATTAAATGGAGGCTGTGTCCTTCCTTTTATTTTTCATGTAATGTATTTTTAGTATGGTTTAGTATAATCAATTGTTGATGTAAATGTGTCACGCCCCGAACCCCAACAGGCTCGCGACACCCCTTCGATGGCCGTATTGAACGCGACGTCCCAGGACGCGTCGCCGACCCATACGAAACATGCAAAGACGTACGCAAGCGGAAGCGAAATTCAAGCAACCCTGACGATAGATAATGACAAGGGATAACACTATAGCATTCACAAATACCCAACATTAAGAGGGAACAGTGGTTGGGTAGCCTACTTCACTATACAAAAGAGGGGCATCTAAAGAAGAAACGAAGCATCAAATGTCCAAGGTCACTCCCGGTCTCTGAACCGAACGTGACGACTATCCGTCACTCCAAACCTGAAAATGTTTAACAACGGGGGATGAGATAAATCTCAATAAGCAGACAACCTAAACCCCACATAGGCCAATGCGTACCCAGACGAATCTCTACATGCAATATAACAATCGACAAATAAAATCCACATGAACGTACTTACCTCTCCTCAAAACATGCGCCAACTTTGCATATTAGTCAATTCACAATAATGCAATAACACCCAATGTACATATCACTATCGTTCGAGCACCATATACAAGTACATTCACCCAATTTAATCAAGCACATTTCGCATGAGTGTCCAGCCACTTTCCATGACTCGGGTCAACACCCCACAGGTCAGCCTTCCGATCAATCCGGGCTTTGTCCTGCGTCAACACACCTCAGGACCTTTCTCACGACCCGGGTCAACATCCCACAGGTCCTTTCTCACTTTCTCACGACCTGCGTAAACACGCATTAGGTCAGCCCTCCGATCAATCCGGGTTTTGTCCAGCGTCAACACGCCTCGGGACCTTTCTCACGATCCAGGTCAACACCCCACAGGTCCTTTCTCACAACCCGGGTCAACACCCTACAGGTTGGCAGCCCTTCGATCGATCCGGGCTTGTTCAAGCAAACATACACGCCAAAAAATTGTTGGTTTGTGGGCTGTTTGTGTCCGGCTTGAATACTGGAATTGTGAGCTATTGTAGTGAGTTTATGACTTGGAAATGGGGCCCTTAAAATGTGTTAGAATGCTAGTTGTGCAATGTGGCAAACTTGTGACGCCTTAAGGAACGAATTTGGTACTCGCATGGATTGATTGGAATCGGGGTAAGTACGGCGCAAGTGCCATAACTTTTGTACGGAGGACACTTAAGTGCCATAACTTTTTTTTGGCTCACTTGAGTACCATAACTTTCAAAAAAATGATCACCTAAGTGCCACTTACGAGCTGATCGTGAGGGCTCGAAACCGCAGCTTTTCCGATCGAACGGTGACCTTCCCGGCAAGGCGAGCACCACCAGCTTGAAGAGAGGGTGTCCGTGAATCATTCCATGGCCTCCGTTCGTCTCGAAATTTCCGTTTTAGCCTCCGTTGACGAAGGTGAAAATGTTTCGTAGTCACACAATTTATTGAGCCGATTTGTGTGACTACGAAGCATTTTTACCTTCATCAACGGAGGCTAAAACGGAAATTTCGAGACGAACGGAGGCCATGGAATGATTCACCGACACCCCCTCTTCAAGCTGGTAGTGCTCGCCTCGCTGGGAAGGTCACCGTTCGATCGGAAAAGCCGCGGTTTCGGGCCCTCACGACCAGCTTGTCAGAGGGGTTGGTCGTGAGGGCCCGAAACTGCGGCTTTTCAAGCCAAACGGTGACCTTCTTGGCGAGGCGAGCACCACCAGATTGAAGAGGGGGTGTCGGTGAATCATTCCATGGCTGCCGTTCGTCTCGAAATTTCTGTTTTAGCCTCCGTTGACGAAGATAAAAATTCTTCGTAGTCACACAAATCGGCTCGATAAATGTGTGACTACGAAGCATTTTTACCTTCGTCAATGAAGGCTAAAACGGAAATTTTGAGACGAA